GAATAAGTTAAGAATGAACCCAGTCTATTCACTTTATTATAAGTATTATATTTGCAAACATTTAATACTTAATTTAAAGAATGTTTTTTAAATATTTTATATAATAATTTTAGCTTCAATTTTATATATAATAACAATAACGGTTTCAAAGTACAAATTGATGTAAAATTTTCTTTTTTAAGTTTGGCAAATTTTGCTTTAAATTAAATTTGTTTAATGAATAGAAAGTAAATGCCTTTTTGAAATATTTTATTCAATATATAATTTTCAGAAAATATGTTTACAGATATTGAGTTTTTAAATAACAAAAGTAAATCCATTGAATTGATGACAATGCTACTCAAAAATATAAAGTAAACAGGGATTATGGATTTGTACTGTATTTGCTGTAAAATTCTATTAAATAACAGAGTTTAATCGATATGTGATCTAAAATATTTGCAATTTTTGTCATATCTTTTTTGCTACTCAAAAATATAAAGTAAACAGGGATTATGGATTTGTACTGTATTTGCTGTAAAATTCTATTAAATAACAGAGTTTAATCGATATGTGATCTAAAATATTTGCAATTTTTGTCATATCTTTTTCAAATTTGATTGAGACCTTGGTAAACAACTATTAAATTATACAATTTTAATTGATATACTATTTATATATAAATAAAATTATTAATAGATTTAAAACTTATGAAATTTCTAATGTCTAACTGTGTAATTTTAATCACTTATCAAAATTGTGGTCATTAATTCCTTACCTTTAAATGAAAACAATTAAATGTTGATAATATGAAAATATTTTTTAATATTTGAAATTTTTTATATAAGTCTGTATATAATTGTCACTTGTAAATTGAATGGGTATGAGCTATGCATAGAGTGTTGACTGAATTGGTAATTCATGTCAATCGCCAATCGCCTCAATAATAAAACTGCGAAAATTGGTTTAAGAAAAGCTTTGTTCTAAAGGCATAAATCAATGTTTTACAACTCGGTATTAAATCCTTTGGACTTTAACTGCCTATGGGTTTAAACTAAACCGTTTAGTTATTATCACGTTTTATAATAGCTTTAGTTTGCATACTAACGAACGAGTAGTGAATAAATGACTCTCTTTGCGAGTTAATTCATGAATTCATGTAATTGCTAGAGTGTAATGAAAAGTAGTGGTCTAATTTGTAAATATTTTAAAACAACAAAAATGAGATAATTATGGCTCATTTATATAACTTGTATGCAATAAGTGTGTGAAGGCGTCAAATGGGCAAATGTTATCATGGCAAAAAATGATTAGTGCCATCAATATGGCATTGCAGCCAATGATGCATACGGTGTTGCCGTGAGATTGAGTTGGACTGACTTATGAAAGACTGCGAGTGCTTCTCACCATCACATCACTATCACATCACATCCTCATCCCATTCATTCAACTCCTACTCCATACACATATTGCATGAATTGCATGACTGCTCCCCGAGCACACAAAACATTGTTTTCATTGTTTTGTTTGGGATTTATAGGAATTATTATTCAAACTAAGCAATCACTGAATGCGTCCCAATAAGTTAATCATACTGTACAGTACAAGCAATGCTGTACCTTACTTTACTCAATCTTATAATAGCTATCAATCTTTAATCCACTCAAATCATGTGATATACTATGTTGATCAATATTGCATTTAATTTTGATTTAAGTAAACGTCAAGCTATAACTACACTATATATATAATACTGTACATTAAGTTTTGAATCAATAAAAGTTTTCTACTACCGGTAAATAATATTTTATAAAATTCATAATATGATAAAACAGAATTTATTTTTATATAAAACTTTTAATTTATTTTAATTTTCATAAAGAATTGTAAAATATTCAATTTTACGGTGTATTATGATTTCCAATAGATTTACAGAAAATTTGTAATTAATTGTTTTTAAACATTGCTTTATTGTAGTGGAAGAAAGTATCCGTCAAAATGTTGAGACATAATGTAGTGCCAAAAGGGTACTATTATTTTTAAAGTCATTAAATTACTTTTAAATGCACTAATTTAAATAAATAATTGAGTAATGTAATGTACCGAAAATTCTAGAATATATAATAGTAATATAAAAACAATTAAAACTTTATGTTTTAGACTTCAACCAGCACTTCAAGTGGTATTTAATATTGTTTTGTGTAAAACATATGATAAATGGCAAATTTAAACTCCATTTAATGTTGGATCTAATAATTTATAAATTTATACAAAATAAACATTAAAGCACTTGATTTTATTAAATATAAATATAATTTTGCACTATTTAATGATTCCGTTATTACAATGCATGTAAAATGTATAATGTATTATGTATAATGCCTTAAACCACAAACTAGACTTTTATCGGTAATAAGAATACAGATTCATGTCTGAAATTTTTTATATTTAAAAAATCATTTAATTTTTTTCAAAAATATACAAACTATGTCCATTATAATGATTAAGAAATTGTTGATACATCTTAATAAATTTAGTAATTATTTATTAAATTGTTTTCCATATATTATATCGGATTTGATGATCTGAGATGGTGCAATGTTTTCGGAAACTTAATAGACTAATAAAATGTATAATAAAAAGTTGAGAAAATAATATAAAAGTACAGAATATTCATACAAATAGATTTCAATGTAATAGAGTTACTTGAATGACTCCATGAAAACAGTTTTTTGAAATTGAAACTCAAAATAACAAAAAGATAATAAATTATTAAATATAAATTAATGATTTGATTCAATAAAATTGATAAATAAGTAGCTATAAACTAGCATTGAATAAATATTTAGGTGTTTTCAAAATCAATAGAAATCAATAAAAGCAATGGAGAGTTAATACTATTTTACATACTGTTATTGTTATTTATTATTAGATTCAAAACCCATTATGTTTAGACATATTGTGAATAAAATATTATTTTTTCCATTTATTCATGTAATATATCTATCAAATGTTTGACATTTGAATTTAATAAGACTTTATTCGTAAAATTATTTGCTCGGAATATGTCTATTGGGATGAGTAGAGGTTTGTTGCAAAACTAATAAATAAGAGTCAATTGATGTTGAAAATGCTATTCTGGGTCAGTATTAGGAGAACTGAAACTCATAATAAGATATAACTTGCAAACGACTCAAACAGTTTTCTCTCAATTCATACTAAATGTTAAAAGCGTTTGCAGTGTGCAGAGATGACAACCGATGCTTTTTATAACATTTCTCACAATATATTTCTATATATTTGTGATAAAAAATAGTGTAAAAGTAAGTTGAAATAGAATTTGCTTAAAAGCCTCCGAAAATACTTGTTCTCTCGTCGGCACAGGTGTATAGAAAAGGGGGACATTTGTAGCCAAATTCACTTCACATTTCATAAATTACTTTGTATATCCTTTTATATCCTTTTATATTCTAACATATTCTTAGCAATAGGCAAATAAAACAATGCCATATGCCTTATAAATTTTTAAATACTCAAATATTATAAACCTTTTTATAGAATATTCTTAAAATAAAGAATTTTTATATATTTTTCACATCATTTGAATGCTCTGGAGACCGAAGAAGTTTTCTATGAAAATCATATCAATAATCTTGATATAGAAAATGCCTGCAATTAGTCGTAAGAAACCTCTGATATAAATAGTCTTCGTATGACTAAGTAATGATAATAAGGATTAAGTGCCATTGAAAGGCATGTAATTTAATTTGAAAGGCTAAAGTAATTTTCTGTTACTGATGAAAACATAATTTAATATATGCTTTAAATTGAGTTTACTTTTGAGAATAAAAATCATTGTTTTGTGTCAAACGTAATGACAAGAATTAGGAGGCAATGAATCAACGACTCGATGCCAACACTATTTAACATTAATTATTAATGAAACCCATCTTTTCCTATATTATACTGTAATCTCAACTTTGAATACACGACAGACCGTATGATTTAACACTATTTGATGAACACAATAAAAATAAATCAATAAGGTTTGTGATGCCATTGATTACATTTGTACTGATTCTATGTGGGCTACTAATGTTACTGCTTTTATTAATATTATATTATACTGTATTACATTCATTTCGCATACAATTATCTAATTCAGAAAATTATTTATAGTATAATAGTGTACAGTAGATTTAGTAGGAATATTACAAAATTAACAATTAATTATTTTACAAACAAGTCTAAGACATTATTAATATAAATATTTTTTATTTCTTCCATAAAGCTATGAAATATTCAGTATTTTGATGTTTTCGTGACTTATTCATAAAAATGTCTATATAAATCTTAATCTTAATTAAGTGTTATAAGTTATGTAAGCTAGTAATGCTAAACATTAATTAATTAGAATTTATTACAAAATATTTTTATATAAATATGCAGTGAATATTGATCATGCTCATTTGACTTTTATTCTACAATCATTGACTGATAACTTGACAATAACTGACTTGTTAGTACATAATTTACAACTGTTACCATAACTGCTACAATTACGTTACCAAAGAGTTTCCTCTTTCAAAGATTTCATATTTCATATATTGTGTCAATAAGTTTAGTGATTTGATTTTTGCATGTATACAAGTACAAGTACTTTGAATAGTAAATAACTTGTAATATATAAACAGTTACCAAATGAATGAATATTTGTGGTCAAATTGGTGATATAGTCGCTCCGCAACAGTTGTTTGGCTCCAATGGCTTCTTATGGTTACCACAGATATTGTCTTATCTTTTAAACAAAGTTCATAAGAATTGTTTCAATGGTTTTGGAAATAAAATGGAAACTCAAATAATATTTATTATTCACTTCTTGTAATCGATATACAGTACGTTTAACAACGACTCAATTAATATAATAATATTTACATCGGAAGTTAAATTTAATCATAAAGTTATTGCTAATTGTGAGGACATGTCGCACTCACATACTAGGCATTTACTATGAAAACTATGTGAAATTTTATTATTTTTAATTTTTATTATATTTTATTTGATTTTCATTGATTGTTATTGACAAAATGAAAATAATAGAATATTACTTGAGTTTATTAGCATTTATTTTATTAAATATAACTATTGTTTCAATTCATTCATTGGAAACGTTAACAAGTGTTTCATCACTTGATTATGAAGAAGAAAAGTGGTTTTGGAATAAAGAGGAATATCCCAACCCTTACGAACAGCCACCATATTGTCAAAGGACAAAGCCTTCGTATATCTGTGATCCTGATCAATTGCTCACCAAACAAGAAGGTAGGTTTATTGTAACAATTCAGGGATAGTAACCTTTATTATGATAGTGGACAATTTCATTTTAAGATACATTATACTGTATAATTGTATAATACTGTATAATAATTGTATTTACTAGCATAAACTTTGGATAAGTTCAAACTGACATTAAAATTAGACAAATAATAATTGCTTAACATTTTAGAAAGTATAATACAATTATCTATAAAACAGTTTCCCTTTAATTTAAACAAGGTTTAAATATTCTGAACAAATGATGATTAAAATGATTAAAATTTCATGATAGAATATCATGTTTTATTAAGTTTAAACAAATATAACATATAAATATAATATAGTTGTTATTATTACATTAATATTATAATTAAACATTATTTACTAATTAGTCTAGTATTTTATAGATTTATAAGTATCTTATTTCATCCTTATATTGTTTTTAAAAAGTAATATTTATTATTTATACTACCGGTACATTTTACCAATCGATAAATGATTTTTATTAAAGCAAAAATTGTCAAAAATGCCATATCTTTCAGACTAAAGTCACTAATGTTTGTGTTTAGGTGAGACAATGTCTGAACAATTGTGTTGAGTTTAGGATTTTTTGTGTAAAATACGTGATATTAATCACAACATGTCTCATGCCTTAATTATTGTAATTAAGATTTATTACAATCTCTCATATATTCAAATTAATTAATTTTTTATCCAAATAAATCGTGTAATATTAATTAAATTTAATTGAAAGCCAATATAATCACTAATATTAGTAACTTTAATCTAATTCTTTTTTATTTATGTTAATAAATAAATAATTATAAATTTGTATTTTTTATCCAAATAAATCGTGTAATATTAATTAAATTTAATTGAAAGCCAATATAATCACTAATATTAGTAACTTTAATCTAATTCTTTTTTATTTATGTTAATAAATAAATAATTATAAATTTGGATTGAATTAATTTAGCAAATCGTTTGAATGACTTGATTAAAGGAGCCAAGAATGTATCAGCTTGTTTTTGCACTTATTGTCCCTCTAATGAAAGGGGACTTTCTATAGGAGTGGCACTCATCAGGAACATTTTCAAAGAATATAAGTGTGTAATTTATATATATATTTTGTTCTTATATTGTGTTATATTAGAAATTATTATTTAATTTATGGACATTTGAATCGTAATCTTTTGTTTATTATTATTGGATTTTTATCAATCATAATATTATTTCATTATTATATGGTTTAGTGTACGAGAGCTACAAAACGCCGAAAATTTTGCCGACTTTTTACGAAAGAAATGGAATTTTGGGATTTGTGACAATAATATACTTATTCTTATCATTGCTTCTGACAATCAGGTATTGAAATTCATTTGAACGTAGAGTAACACAACACCCATATTATATTTACAAAGCATTTAAGACATCAATAAATAATAAGACTATAAACTCAATGATCACACATAGATAGCTCATTCCGAAGGCACGACTACAACCAAAGTATTTCCCAAATTTCTTATCGACGACACCATCAAAAACAATGAAATCTATTTCATTAAAGAAAATTATTATGAGGTAAACCATACTAATCGATTGTATGAATTAATTGCTTAAATATGTTCATTGAAAACAGGGATTAGAGAAAATAATTACAACATTAAGAAATATATTGCAAAAGAATATTCAGTATTCGGTGGCTCTTGAAGAAGACAATTTGATCGAAGAAGAAGCGCCCGAAGAAGAAGTTGAAGAGACTTCACATACGGGTCTAATTGTGGGACTAATTATCGGACTTCTGGTATTCATTGGTTTCATAGTTTTCCTATTGTTTTATCTTCGGAGGAGATTCAGTGAAGACGGGACCAAATTTCAATTCAAAGGAATGCTGAGTAGAGGCTATTGGCTCGACAAAAACGAGAGGTTCAGACCCGTGAGTGTGAATCCACTGAATACAGGCGCTGGTGGTGTGTACGAGCCCTGCAGTATTGAAGAGCCCAATCACGGGCACAATGATGTGGACAAAAGATTACGAGAGAAGTTGAGCCAAATTAGCGACGGATCGGGCGATGAAGAAGAGATGCAAGTGATTGAACACATCCCTCATTCAGATGCAGTCAATAGCGCTGACTCTGTCTCTCATCCAACAGCACATGTGAGCGCACCGTCCGTTCCCACATAACCTACCAGTGCCTCGAATAACGCCAAACATTGTTTGAAACGAGTTTTGCAAATATAATTCATTCATTACATAAATACTCTGTCTCTCATCCAACAGCACATGTGAGCGCACCGTCCGTTCCCACATAACCTACCAGTGCCTCGAATAACGCCAAACATTGTTTGAAACGAGTTTTGCAAATAGAATTCATTCATTACATAAAAACGTTAAATTAATAGATGTGTTGATAGAAATTGAATGAAATACACAAGTATTTGTGAAACATGTTTATATAATGTCATATATTTATGAGAATTTTTACATTATATGGGAATTTATTCCATGAGAGTTTAGCAAAATTAAAACCCAAACTTTGAATTTTTACATTTCTATCTTTTTTAATAAATTATTGTTCACTTTATGCCATATTTTCTATTCACTGAAAGCCTTTAAAATAAATATTTGTATAAATTATTGGATAAAGAATTTAAATAAATATGAGTTTTTCAAACAAATAAATTAATTCTATGTATATAATCAAATAAATAAATAAATCCTATAAATAAATATTTGAATTAAAAAATGTACAAATTCTTTTTAAAGTCTCCGAACATTAGTTTCATTTGAATGTGATTTGAAATTTCATATGAAAATGTAGTCAACATATTATCCTAATATCTTAATACCTAATCAATTATAACATTGTATACATTTACTGTATTGTATACTATAAAGTTTATAGTAATACAATTAAGATAATACGATAAACTAATGAGAACTATTTAAATTAATTTTACAAACAAGTTTCCATTAGATTATTATAAATTTAAGGCATCTATTGATACATAAAATTGAGAAATATTTTTCAATTGCCAATTGTGTTCATAAATATGACAAATAACTGTTGGTCTTATTTGGTTAAATATTATAGTCTTATTTGTACTCAAATACTTTTGCAACAATTATTTAAATTAACTTTTGGTGACAGCATTTGCTTCATTCTTTTGATTGATATTATGTATGATTTTAAGCACCGTTTGAATCAATTCTTCGTTTCCAGACCTGCCTCTGAACCCAAAGAAGGAGGGGGCTCTCAGGTATACAAAGTCACCCACATATTTGCTGAGAGATGTGAACATATCTCCCATTCCATATGCGATACGGATACCAATGGGTTGATTGATGGCAGCATTGGGTGATTTGTTGAGTTGTTGTTTGCCTTTAGTATAGCGATCGAAGGGGTCGTCGTCCTGAGTGGCCAAACGGAAATCATTGGTCCATATGCGATACGGATACCAATGGGTTGATTGATGGCAGCATTGGGTGATTTGTTGAGTTGTTGTTTGCCTTTAGTATAGCGATCGAAGGGGTCGTCGTCCTGAGTGGCCAAACGGAAATCATTGGCGAACTCAGTCTCTTTCAGTACGTTTACGATTCTCTCGGGATGGTTTGTGATTATGCCGTCCACTCCAGCCCTAAATATGTTTATATCTTATATTAGACATTTATATGAAACCTATTTATTTTAGCTTTATACAGTATTCGCAATTACACAATTAAATATTATTAAATATTTAATATAAATTAATTTTGCATAGTAAGCTTATTGATAAATGGTGAGTCATTTATTATGAAAAGGTATGATAAATACTGATAATTATGAAAAATAGGATAAATACTGACATAGACTTAGATTGGATCTGAGATATACTCTACAAGTTTTATATAATTATTAATAATTCAAAAAGTTATCCAAGACTTGTTGCTAATTTGTATAAGTTATTCATGAACTTTATCATTTAGTATAATAATCTGACTGATCAAGAATTTATGCAATCCTTGAACGGAATTTATAAAAATGAATGAAAATATAATTATATGATATTAAATGCACTTGATAAGGTACTACTAGTTTACCTGAGTGATGATCTTATGTTGACAGTGAGGTCTACAGTCCAGTGGTAGACTTTGTCAATATAAGGGTCAGGTCTCATCATATTAGTCTCATCCCTGCGTTTGATTGCAGCTGTAAGTCGACCCAAATTGACAAAAGGACTCAAGCAGTTGGTGCGGCCGTCCCCCTGCCATATGTTCTTTACTCGACCCACTCTTTTCCACATACTTTCTATTTGTATCAATGAATGGATAATTTAAAAATCAATTCTCATATTAAGTAAAACAAAGTCAACAACAAATATATATATACCGATGACAAACAGGGGATCATTAAGTCCCACATCCCAACCAATGATTTTGTTGAGACGATTTAATTTTCTGTTTTCTAATTCATTCTCAAAGCCTAATATGAAATCGTAATCAAAGACATGTCCGACGGAAAGTAAAAGTTTGACTTTAGTTGAGCCTAAAGTGTCATTGAATAGATTGTCGACTATGAGGGAGGCCAGCTCCTGACCGGCCACGGCTTTAGCACTGTGAAATTAACCCGGATTAAATTGACTGTGAATTAAATTTAATACTGGATTAACAAAATGAACCTGGGAGGCAATTGAGATACTTTCAAGTCGAGGAACAGTAGCGCCAAATTTTTCCTATATCTCGTATTACCTGAAAATAATCCATATTTGTAATTAACTTTTGAGAGAATATTAATCTTTTTTCACATCATTTATATGGAAATTATATCAAATAATATAATATTGAAGCACAAAAAAGCCATTACAAAAAATAAACTCAATTATGCAATAAATCTGTCATATTTTGATCCGACAATAGATTTGATTAATCGTTGATTGGATTGAATGTCAGGATGTATTGATAAAAGTTGATCGTTTATTTATAAATATAAAGTTTATAAAGTTAAATAAAGTATAATAATAAGGATGCCTTAAATTATAGTAAGTTATTATTGAAATACAATTTATTGATTGACTAACGATTTATAAATAAATACCAGTTATTAGAGAAACACTTAAAGCGTAAAATTTAAATTTTGTGAAACAAATTAGATTATAAGTATAGGTTAAGCAAATTAATTGATTATAATTATAGGATATAAAGCTAAGTCATAGCATACCAGGGGTTGTAATGTCTCGGATATATCCTAAAAATCTGGGAAATTCTTCTCTTTCAGTGCAATGTCTGAAGCAATCGCATGGATATCCATGATATGTATAGACAGCGGAACCGTTGTTTGTGAAGGTGACATCCGATTCAATGGCATTAGCGCCCTGTCCTACATACTGGTCCACCTCTCGGATCGAGTTGACCATATGGGCGATGTTATAGAAGGGCCGCTTTAAGGCACTGGTAGGTCTCAAATGACTCTTCAAAATCAATATTAATATAGAAATTTGAAGGCTTTTCCACATTGTGTTCCTCACAATCCACTCCTTATATGCTTTACATTGAATCTGCAATTTATTTCATAACAAGTTTTCATTCAATTCTTTCATCAACTCGCGATTATACTATTATTAATAATATATTAATTCGTTTATTATTTTTATAATAATATGCACTCATTCACTAAATAGATATGTAATATATTAGGTCAAAAATGGCCCTTCCCAAATAATCCTATAATTACTCGTATTATAAGAAAATTAGAGTTAATATGACATTGTGTAGGTTAAACCCAACTTCCCCTTTGACTTCAACTTTGGTTATAAACTTTCAACATTTAATTAGTTTAAATGCTTTTTTAATTGTTCCCCAATAAGAATTTTTAATGTAAATACAGAGTATAAAAATGCTCTTAAA